CAAATTTCTGAGACTTTTTTAGCTAACACAAAATGATAACTAGTTGTTAAAATTGGACTAATTAGACAGCTGTGTTGAAATAACGTCAGAGATATCACAGCCGATCAGAGAGATTTTTATCAAATAATAAATATCTACTCAGATCAAATATCTAGGAAAATCTTTGTCTGAGAGGTAGGCAAACTTAATAGTATTTTGAAGAGACATGAATTCTCCATTGAATATCAGAATAATATACTGGGTGTTCCATTTAAAATAAAAGAGTAACATACTTTCAAAGGTGACCAATGTTTAATATTAATCTCGCCCTGTATAACTTTTTGGATCAAGTTTTAATTTGATTTAAAGTACAATAGAAAAAAAAAGATTAAGAAATAAAGATTTTTCTTAATTATGGGTCGACTGGAACAAAACTCGGCATCTGGATAGAGGTACCCGAATGAAGTCCTCAGACGCACTGATGGAGACACGGAAGTAAGAAGTTTTACTACAAAGCTGTACTATATGCGCACATAGTGCACACACATTTTTTTTAATTACAAATCCCTTTCTTTTAGAAAAAAATATCACTTATCAAGATTTTTCTCAAATATATTATTAATTTCTGTATTGTTCCTAAAAACCACTGCACGTATATTTCGATATTCCTACCAATAATTTCTGTCTCCTGTATATATTTAACACAAAATCGTATAAATTACAAATGTCCGTATTCCCAGAGCATCTCTCGCTTTGAAGCAACCGTTCTCTTCTCAATAATTCACAATAATAGCCCTTGACCTTGTATGCAGAGCTTTTAACATAAATTATTACTGCTCCGGCTTATTTTGTAAAGGTAAAATTATGCAGGAAGAGTTATTTCTAAAATGAATGTACCGACCTACAAAGAAAAGCTCTGAGAAATAATATTTTTCTGTTTTTAATATAAATACATATTTTTACTTTATAAAACAGAATGTTCGTACGTGTTTTTAAGGTTTAATAAACATAGAAAGTTTTCCCGAGAACTACATTGCTTTATAAGCTTGGTGTATTCTCCGCCGGCGCTGCCACCATCGGAGAATATCGTAAACAACCGGTATATACAAATACCCGGATTTAAATAGCGAGCGTACCTAAAATCTATACTAATATATAAAATCCTTAAGTGACTGACTCACTGATTAATCACGATCCTGCTCAAACCACACAACGTAAGAAGCTCGATTTTGGCATACAGGTTGATTCTAGGGTGTAGAGGTTCGATAAGAAGGGATTTTTCGAAATTCCAGTTCCAAGAGGGTGAAATCACCCCTAAAATATTACAATATTTTTTATTTAAAAAACGGTCAAGTTTCCGAAAAAACGCTTAACACGTATATTTTATTTTATTTTTTTACATATTTTAACATTTTTTAAAAATGTATACAGGGTGTTTCGAAAAATCTGGTCATTGATTAATCACGATCCTGCTTAAAGCGCTTGACGTAATAAGCTGATTTTTGGAAAACGGATTGACTTTAGGGTGTAGAGGTTCGATAAGAAGGGAATAATAATAAAATAATAAAGGAATAATAAATAAATAATATAATTTTAATTCCCAAAATACAAACGTCAAAGAAAGTAAAAGAGCTAATAAAAATATCAAACGCCTTAATAAGAACCTATAAGGCAGAGTGTAATACCCTACAAGTATTATATGAATTAATATATGTAGCAGCAGCAACAGTAACAGAAATTAGTGGAAAAAAGTTAATTAGCAGGTATACAGATCACAGAGGCACACCTAGAAGACCGGACGCAAAACTACCACCATGGCGAGAGAGACTGGAAAGGAATATAAATTCTATACGAAGAAAGATAGGTATACTCACTTGTTACAGCAGCCCTCCCGGGACCAGCAGACCCACCAATAGCGTCAAAAAGAAAGCTGAAAAAATTCTCTCTGAAATTAATATCCTCCCATTAATAAAAATAACAAATCAGAATTAAGACAGTATATTGACCTATTAAAACAAAAAGTTGCAGTACTTGGAGCCAGGGTCAGAAGATACAATGAAAACAACAAAAGGAAACACCAACTGAAGCTCTTCCAAAACAATCAGCATACATTTTACAGCACTCTAGACAAAGAAACCATTCAATCTCATTGCCCACCTAATAAAGAAGCAATGCATGCATTCTGGAACGAGTTGTGGGGCCGGGAAGTCACACACGAACCTGACTGCTAGCTAGAGGCAGAAAAGAGCTTTTTAAACGAAATAATACCTATGAAAGAAATATCTGTTACCGTTAAAGATGTCAAAAATGCAATCAAAAATGCACCGAATTGGAAATCCCCCGGACCTGATGGTATTCAAAATTTCTGGCTCAAACACATCAATGCTACTCACAGTATATTGGCAACAATTTTTAAAGAAATAATGGTAGAACCAGAATCACTACCCAATGAATTGTGTAAAGGAACCACGTTTATGTTACCAAAGAAAGCAAACTCGAAAGACCCTGAAGATTACAGACCCATTACCTGCCTCTCTAATGGCGCATTCTTGGCTTCTCGAGGTTCTGAAACTATACAAAGTTGATCAACAACTCATCAAACTGCTAAAAATAGCTATGACAAAGTGGAGTACCAAACTAATAGTAAAACATCAAACTGAAAGCTATGAAACAACTGAAATAAAAATAAGACGAGGTATATACCAGGGGGACAGCCTAAGCCCAATATGGTTTTGTCTAGCGATGAACCCACTCAATATTATGCTTAAGAACAGTACATATGGGTATAAAATTAATAGCCAAACGAACTACCGGATGTCACACTTGATGTACATGGACGACCTAAAACTACGCTAGTAACGAACATCAGTTACAAAGCATGCTTGAATTAGTCAGTAGATTTAGCGAGAAAATCAAAATGGAATTTGGACTGAACAAATGTGCTGCAGCTCATTACAAAAAAGGGAAATTAAAAGACACACCGAATATAAAGGTAATGACCGAAGTAGAAATCAACACTCTCAAAGAACCAGCTTACAAATATCTAGGCATGTTGCAGACCGGCCAAATTATAGACAGGACAATGAGAGATATTACTAAAGAAAAATATTTAAAACGTGTGAAAACAGTTGTCCGAACATACTTACCTGGAAAAGAAAAAATTATAGCAATTAATAGCTGGGCAGTACCTTTAATTACCTACACATACGGTGTGCTGAAGTGGAGCGATACCGAATTGAAGGAAATGGATAGAGCTACTCGCAAAATATTAACGAAGAACCGAATGCATCATCCTATTGCATCCACTGCAAGATTATACTTACCTCGAACAAATGGGGGCAGGGGACTTTCAAACCTAGAGGATATTTGCAGTAAGTAAGCAGTTAACATAACAAGTAAGCAGTTTACGAAAATATTTTAACAACAAAGAAACCACTTTACATCGAGCAATAAGAACCGCTGATATTCAGTCTTAAACCTAGCTAGAAATGAAATCACTGATATGCAGTGTGCAGGAATTAAGGGCAAGGCGCTACACGGAAAATACTTTACTGAATTGGATGCAGATTGTGTAGACAAAAGTAAATCAGTAAAATATCTAACGGAAATTCCACTTACCGGCGAAACTGAAGGGTTTATATGCGCTATTCAGGATCAGGTGATAGCTACAAGATCACACAGGAAGTTTGTTCTGAAAGAAAACATAACGGACAGATGTAGAATGTGTAACCAATTTTCAGAATCCATACAACACATAAGTTCAGGTTGTCCCAGGTTAGCACCAACTAGTTATACAGAAAGGCATAATAACATAGCAAAAATAATCCATTTAGAACTGTCACTAATTCTTGGTTTACAGTCTGTGCAGACGAAGTATTTTAATTACACCCCAGAACCTGTAATGGAAAATAGCAGCCATAAACTATATTGGGAGACACTTATTTTAACAGATAAAACAGTATTACATAATAAACCCGATATACTCTGGATAAACAAATACAAGAAAGAATGCTTCATAACTAATATAGCCGTACCATTAGACCAGCATCTTCAAAAAACTGCAACAGAAAAAATACAGAAGTATCAAGATCTTGCATATGGATTAAAAAGAGTATACCAGCTCAATAAAGCCATGGTTTTACCTTTTGTAATCTCTGCCAATGGACTTATTCATAAAGATTTTACAAGGAACACGGAATTATTGAAATTAAACCCAAAGCTTACCAACGAGTGCTTAAAAGCAGCCATATTGGGAACAGTGAGAATTGTCCGAAAAGTGCTTAATATTTAGAAGACCCTGAACTAGAGCAGTTCTGGTCAAGAAACCAAACCTACCGAGAAATCGTGAACAAAAAAAAAATAATTTTTCAAAACTTGAATTTTAAGGGGTGACACCACCCCTCAAATATTAGAATATTTTTTATTTAAAAACCGGTGAGTTTTTCGGAAAAACTCTTAAACACGTACATTTTATTTTGTTGTTTTACATATTTTAAGATTTTTTAAAAATTTATACAGTGTGTTTTATGAAATATGACTATTGAGTAATTAGGATTCTGCTTAAACTGCTTGACGTTTAAACCTGATTTTTGTCAAACGGATTGACTGTGGGGTGTAGAGGTTCGATAAGGAGGGTTTTCTCGAATCTCAAATTCCAAGAGGGTGAAAACGCCCCTCAAATATTACAATATTTGTTATTTAAAAAACGGTTAGTCTTTCGGGAAAACGCTGGGACACGCATAATTTATTTTGTTTTTTACATACCTCGAAATTTTTTTAAAAAATCATACAGGGTGTTCCAAAAGTTGGGTAATTGATTAACTATGATTCTGCTTAAACTGCTTGACGTAAAAAAAACTGCTTGACGTGAGAAAATTTTATCCAGTTTGTATGTTAATGGAAATTCTTGCTTTGCTTTATCATCACCATCACAAATTATTAATTTGACGCGAACGAAGTCGCGGGTACACGCTAGTCTTCATATAATCAGAAAAAAAAATGTCAAATAAATATCAACTTACAAATGCGATCCTCTTCGTCTGGTGCGTCTGTCATCTTCGGGCATGACTAGAGTAAGAGTGGGGGGCATATCCGGACTGGGGGGACTCGAAGGTTCAGGGGCCGGAGCCCTGAACGAGGCCCTGCGTCCCATGTTTGTAGGCTGCGTCACCGTACTCAGGCCTGGTACTACACAAAGAGAGATACACTAAGTCTACGTCAATTTATTATACAGGGTGTCCCAGAAATAAGTGCAAGTATTTTAAGGGGTGGTAGATATCTCGATAAAAGAAACATATTTTTTCTTCATCGTTTTTCAAATAAGTCCAAAATAACGGAGTTATTTTACTTTGAAAATATCCAAAAAAATGATTTTTTGCTAAAATTTTGAGAACCACTGGATCTTTTCTGGATTTTCTTTCTTGTAAATTTAATCTAATACCTATGTTGCCATATTATCAAGAAATTATATTTTTTAACTAAAAAGTAAAAAAAATTCCAAATTTTCTTTTAAAATATTTAGGTTAGGTTATGATTTTTAGTGAGTGACATATTTCACAAAGGTTAAAAAAATTAAGATTTTAATTTTCTTTCCTCCGCTAAAAATCGGCTTTTCGTTTAAGAATCATGTCCTTATTATTTTTTCATGCCTTCGACTTCTAAAAATTAGAAAAAAAAATCATCGTTAATTAATTTTGAATTTTACTATAAAAATAAAAATAAAATTGAAAAAACAGGTTTTTTTGAAAAATTCGAAAACCGTTTGAGTTAAAGAGCTAAAAAATTAGGTGAATTATTTTGATTCGACACCAAATCGATCACCTGAGTGCGAGTCAAAAAAGTCGCTGGGGCAGATTTCTCCTATTAATCCGACTATACCTACCCTTTAACCATAATTACCCGATTCACAACTTACCAGAGAACACGTCGTAGGCCGAAGCTCTCCTGGGCATGGGAGCGGGTAGGCCCAGACCCACTTCCCCTCCGCCGCCCCCTGGCGACGCGCCGGGCAACAGGCCGGCCTTGACCTCGTCGTCGTAGCTGTGCTGGCGGGCGACCCGCGATGCCCTCCGCGACCGGGGCGGCAGTTCGGTGGTTCGCGGGGGGCTGTTGGCCCTGGAGCCGGCCCTGGAGCGGCCGCCGCCGCGGGCCCAGTCCGAGTCTGGGGTTTTGGCGCCGCTGCCTTTCAGCTGGAAAAAGAGTGAAAAAAATTAGGGAAATAAAATTTTAGCACTGTTTTTGTCAGAATCATCTGGACAAACGCCAGAGTCCTAGTATATTCAATTGACTTCGAAAATACTATACAATGAAAAAATAAAAATATAAGAAATTTTACAAAAAATATAGATACACTCAGATGCAAAAAAAACGCAACGGAGAAATTTTTAGTCATATTTAAAGTGTTGTATTTTTGTTATTTTTAACCCTATTTTCATGAATTTTTTAGCAAACTGTATATAATTATATCAACTTTAATTCGTAAACTAAGCTTTTTATAAACTATAGTATTTGGCATATATTATACAAGGTTAATCGGGGGGTTGTTTGTTTACCCTAACTTTAAAACACCCTGTGCAATAATTTCGTATGTAAGTTTTTCTAAAATATAATTTCATGGTCAGAACTATGACTCCTGAGCATTTTGATTTTTGATTCATGTCAATACATGCTTTGGTTAATTTTTAAGAGCGAAATGAACTGATCACGATCAATTTGCAATTTTTTCAATTATCATTACTTTTTGATGTAATATTTTAATATGACAAGATGGTTTTGGTGACATTGTCGTAACGTCATATTACGCTGCATTGGATACTTTATACTAAATTAAAGAAAAAAACGTTAAAGACTAACGATACAGTCCTGGTTTTAAAAAAAAAACATTAATAATAATAACAGAATTAACGATATTAAAGAAAACATCTGTAATACTCAAGTACGCAAACAGAAAAAAAAATTGTAAAAAATACCCTAATACTTTTTATTGTCTCTCTTGGCTGCTATACGTCCGTTCATACTGTCATTGAGGCTGCATAGTTCAGTTAATGAAGCTGTTTTCTTAAAAAAAATATTAAAAATACAAGAAATCCTGAAATCAAAACTATAGTAGGTATTTTCTTTATATGGTCTGTACTTACTTTGCTATAAATATGGTAATCCTAAACCATACAGGATGTTTAAAATTCTACGCCAAACTTTCTAAAATATAAAATAATTTTTCTTCGTATTTTTAAAGTATTTTTAAATGGAACACCATGTATATTAATTTTTCAAGAGATAGAGAGTTAAAAAATGAATATTTTTTATATTTAGAGTATTGCAAAATGTTTAACTGTTTCTCAGATATTCGCGGTTTTATATCATATGGCATTTTCCACAGTAAAGTTTTATCAAAGCCACCCAATAATTTTTCTCTCGTATTTTACCGTTGAAAGAGCCATATGAAATAATACTGTGTGTATCTGCGAAACCATTAACACTTTTCAAGTACTTTAAATACAAAAAATGTTAATTTTTTAACTCTCTGTTTAATAAAAAAATAAAATACAGGCTGTTCCATATAAAAAAAAACAAAGAAAATTTATTTTGTTTTAGAAAGTTAGGCGTAGAATTTTGAATACCCTGTAAGATTTAAGATTACGATATTTATAGCAAAGTAAGTATAGAGATCATATAAAGAAAATACCTAATATAAAACAGAATATATTGACTTCAAGGAAGTTCTTGTATTTTTAATATTTTTTTAAGGTAGGTTTTCAGGAATTTTCCTGAAATACATCCTTGTATACAGGGTTGCGCACCTCATTCGCCTCGGTTGATTATACGAAAACGGAAAGATGTAGAAACAAAATATTTTATGGGTATATGTGGGGAGGTAATGTGCACAATTTAAAATTATTTTTAAATGTACAGGGTGTTTCGGAACTAAGATCCATACCAAAGTTATATTTTTTTTATGGAACACCCAGTATTTTATTTTATTTTTGGATTCTTGGGCCCAAAAAAAGATATTTATTATAAGAGTTACATATGTTTACAATTTTTGGTTTTTGAGATATTTAAATTTGCATGCTACAATAGAATAGACTATTAACACCCTGTACATTACTTTTCAGAATTAATTCGTATGCTGAGTTTAAAGGTAGAGAAATAAACTTTACAGAAAAATGTTATTCCTTCCAAATGTATACAGGGGTATCAAAAATTGCTGGTCTATTTTAAATATTTATTTTACATAAAAACTTCGTTATTTCAAATGCAACACTGTGTATTTTTTTAAATAATTCGAAGCAAATTTAAATGTTCTTTCAAACTATATTAGGGTTTCCTATACCTATCTGGTTCAGATTTTGAATAAAAAGCGATTTTTCAATAAAATTGTAATGAAGATGGCTAGTGTTGTCATGGCATGTTTCTAGTGACAGTTAGTAGCTATTTTCAAAATCGAAATTAGTTTATGGACTTATTTAAATTTATACCAGTTTACTTTTATTTAATTTACCTACAATAGTTTAATAAATAATATTTATTAAATACTATGTGTTTATTATTCTATCAAGAAAAACGAAGAAGTAGTTCTTTGAATTATTTTACGATGACTTGTAGATATATGGATTTTCTATAAAAGAGCCAATTACGGCAGATTCATTTTCTTCACTTCCAACGATATGTTTCTGCCTAATAGGTTTTTTATAAACCATACTACCAACTTTGCGAAATAGGACAAGAAGTTTTTCAAAGAAACGCTTATCAGGAAGATTCCTATTTGGATATCTTTGAGCGTAAGCCCTTGAGGCCAAGAAGCAATTTTCCTCACAAAATAATATCACTAGTAACATATCTATTCGTTCCGCCAGCAGATACTGCTTTCTTTTTCTTGATGAAGTAATGAAGTAATGAAGTGAAATTATTAAACTATTGTGGAAAAATTTAAGTAAACTGTTATAAATTATAAATAATAATGTCCATAAACTAATGTCGACTTTGAAAATAGTTACTAACTGTCACTAGAAAATTGCCATTGCGACACCAGCCATCTTGATTGCAATTTTATTTAAAAATCGCTTTTTATTCAAAATCTGAGCTAGATAGGTATAGGAAACCCTAATATAGTTAGAAAGAGCATTTGAATCTGCTTCGATTTATTTAAAAAAATACAGGGTGTTGCGTTTGAAATAACAAAATTTTTATATAAAATATATCCTCAAAATAGATCAGCAAGTTTTGATAGCCCTGTATAAATTTAAGGAACCAATACCATTTTTCAGTAAAGTTTATTTCTCTACCTTTAAACTCAGCATAAGAATTAATTCTGAAAAGTAATGTACAGGGTGTTAATAGTCTATTCTATTGTAGCATGCTAAAGATTTTAAACATATTTAACCCTTATAATAAATACCTTTTTTTGGGTCCAAGAATCCAAAAATGAAATAAAATACCGGGTGTTCCATAAGAAAAAATATAACTTTGGTATGGATCTTAGTTCTGAAACACCCTGTATATTTGAAAATAATTTTAAATTGTGCACATTATCTCCACACATATACCCATAAAATATTTTGTTTCTACATCTTTCCGTTTTCGTATAATCAACCGAGGCGAATGAGGTGCGCCACCCTGTATACTTTACGTTAACAATTAAACAAAATTCTCAAGTTTTTTATTCTCGGAGCTACTACAGATGCCCGACGCACTATTGCCGGACCCTGTACACCCTTATAAAGGTTATTGTTAAAATCTGAATTAGGAAATTTGATATGGTGATATTTTTTTAATGATCTATCTGTCAGTATAAACAAACGATAAGATATTAACAGCCAAGAAAGACGTTGTACGGTTATCAAGTTACCTTTTCCAATTCCTTAAGAGATGCAGGCGATACGTCAGAGTGACGTCGGAGCTCGGGACTGCGAGGTGGGGCCAGGCCTCCCGGCCCTCCCCCCACGCCCAAGCCGCCTCCGGAGGATCCCAGTCTTGCCTCGGAGTGCCTCCGCTGCAGCTCCTGTAGGGGTATTTCGAGCAGGCTTTCGTTGGAGTCTTGGGGTATGACGGCAGCTCGCGATTGCATTTTTCTGTAAAAAAGCAATAGTCAAAATACAGTAGGACTTCTCTATTTCGGACACTCCAGTAATTCGGCGTTTCCTATCAACAGGAAAATTTGATATTATTACCTCTTTATTCCGGATACCAACAAAATTCAAAGAGAAATTAAAATAAAATCAGCATTTTGCTAAATAAAACGCAACCCAGTGATGCCAATCAGCTTCTATATGAAGATTATGTGGAAAATAGCAGATCGGATGTTGCGGATACTCTTTTACAGAACCTTGACGAAGCAAGAAGGGAGAAATGGAATGAAAACACTGCAAATTTAAACTTTAGACACTCAAGCAGAAAGGCATGGAGTCTGCGTACAAAGTTGGGAGCTGAGTCCCATAATGCTAGAAACCCGTCCAACATTACAGCTGACCAAATAGCCAACCACGTAGCTAATTTGTCTAGAGCTAAAAAGGACAAACAACATCAATCACAATTAAGAAGGAATTTAAAGCTCTAAAAAATCATCTACTACACAGGAACAATTCTCTGGCAAATTCACCGTTGATGAAGTTACAAGGGCCTTACAGCTCATGAACAATGGCAAGTCACCTGGTTTCGACAATATACATCCTGAATTCCTTACACATTGTGGAATAAATACAAAACGCGGGCTATCAAGATTCTATACAAATATTATTCAATCCGAGCAGTTGACAAAGGAATTCAAGAGATCGAAAATTATTTCCATTCTTAAGCCAGGTAAGCCTGCTGACTTGGCCGAAAGCTATAGACCAGTTGCCTTGCTAAGTGTTTCTTACAAACTTTTAGAACGTCTAATTTACAATCGAATATGTCCAATAATATTAGAGGCCCTACCAATAGAACAGGCCGGATTCCGACCTGGTCGTAACTGCGAGGATCAAGTGCTTGCGTTGACTACATTTATTGAGAGAGGCTTTGAAGAGCGTAGCAAGACTGGTGCATCTCGGGTCGATAATCAAACGCAGGCTACCAAAGTTCGATTTCCTCATGGTCATAGCCGGGTGAATGTAATTAGATGAAAACAGATTGAACGACGTAACCGGCGATGACCACGAGGGATAGAAAATATAAAAATGTATGCTGAAGAGAGTCGAGAAGTCAGTCCGTCGATGTGAGTCGCATTATTACGGTCAGTAATTCGCGTTATTAGTCGGTTAGTTGCAGACAGCGCAGAATGAAGATGTTCCTGTAAGTACTTCTTTAAGTAAACCGTTAAGTCTTGGCATTCCCCAAAATTGTTATACACTGTAAACCTTATATTAAATAAATGCATATTTTATCCAATGGTTGTTTTGATTAAGAGAGAGAACCTGGTATAGCGACCCTAGCACACAACCCATAGCGACAGTATTTTAGTTTATAATACCACTTTTTCACAATTATCACGGGTTTGAGTAAATAAAATTTAAATTAAACTCACAATATAGCAATAATTACTTTGAGAATGGACGCTTTAAACACTTTTCGGTATTTTGTCAATGAGGGCGGTTTAAATTTTGAAAGATTTTATAATTTTTGAAGATTCTGACTTTGACAAGAGAAAATTATTTCTGTTATTGTTTGGCGGTTGTTCTTAGCAACCGCTATAGCAGCGCCAACGGTCGCGTACAACGGTCAAAAATTTGTATCTTTTGAAAAATGTACTAGATTTAATTATTAAGGGGTGGAAGGATAAATAAATATCAGCAAAATGTTCACAGAGCTGGTACAAATGTAAGAACTTGACAACGCTGTTTCCGATACGCAGTAAAGAATATTACAATTTATTTATTATCGGTATTAAAATATTTTTTGGCTTCAGTCCTTCCGTCAAAAAAATGTATGGAAGAAAAGGATATGGAACGGCAGGGAAACGGAATGGATAGTGTACATTGTCCTATTCATTTACATGATATAATATTTTATGTAAACGAAAAGGAAACGGAAGGTATCTGATACGGAAGGTATAGTGAGAATCAACCTTAACTCACCTTCTGCACACGCTGCACGTCCAATTGGCCGGATCCTCGTCCTCGCCCAGCTTGCTGTAGCTCGCGCAGTCCTCGCACACGCGCTGCGTGCACGTGGCGCACGTCCTGCTGAAGTCGTCCGGCTTGAAGGCCTTGAGGCACACCCTGCACGCGCCCGCCCTGCTCGGGGGCTTCCCCGGCTCCGTTTTGGCCGTGGAAGGAGCTGTAATGGTGGCGGGGGGCTTGTCTTCGGCGGGGGGTGATTGCTGGTCGGCTCCCGTGGTGGCATCGGTGGGTATAAGAGAAGGTCTGGGGCCCATTTTGGTTACTAGAACGTAAAGAGAATGGTTAGTTGCTTATTAAATAACTTAGTTTTATGTTAGTTTCATTTTCAAGTCTTTAGCTTGAATTCGCCATATTTAATTTTCAGATTTGTGAGATTTTGAACTAGTTTTATAATTTTTTCAGGTTTCAGAACATTACGCCGGGTTCAGACCAAGGCGACAAAAAATAAACACGATTTTGAGACAAATACAAGATATACGACAAAACTTGCGACAAAAAATGGGGAATTCTGATAAAACAAACTTGAGACAAATTGTCCACACCGCAAGGACAAAAGTACAACAAAGTCAAAAGTTTAGTTGTTGCGAATGAGTTTTATTAACCATGTGTGATTTCACTGGTCTCCTATTGTTGGAAGCACACGCCATCCACACTGCGCCGACAACTTGTCGCAAAATATACGAACAAAACATTTTGATCACACTTCGATCTTTACCGACTCGAGACGGGACATTGAAAAGTCTTTTCGAATTTTGAAACAAAACAAAAATGAGAAAAAAATGTCACAGAAATGTATTGGATTTGCCACAACTTTGTCGTAAAACGTAAATGTTTCTGTCTTGTCACTGTTTTGTCTGCTTGGTCTGGACCCGGCATTAGAATATAAAAATGTCACACTTTTTGAGCTAAAAGGTGCAGATGCTATACCGGGTGTTGCATCGTCGAGCGGGACATAGGAAATCCCATGTAAATTTTAATGGGGTCAACTATTGGCTTCCCTAATTATTTTAGAGAATAATTCTATTTAGGTTTATTGAAGAGCGCTAAAACCCACATTCAAAAGAATAACATTAGATATTATTGATCAGCCCGTTTAGGAGTTATCGCCGATTTCTTTTTAAATATTTCTCCTTTCTTATGGCCCTGTATTTACTTATGAGCACCAGTCAAGGTAAAAGATAACTGTCAAATGAAGTTGTCATTTCAGACATTTATCTATCTAGTGCTTTATTATTATTATTAAAAACTCATACCTACATCGAAAATGCCGTGAATTACACTACCGAAGAAAAAGTATTGATGATTAAATGGTATTATCAAGGAAATAGTTAGTGTTGGACATGTTTGCTGCTCTGTATCCGAATAGACCGATACCTGGAAAATCTACAATCGCAAGGAATATCCAGAGATTTGAGACCAAAGGTACCTTAATAAATAACTGCAGATGTGAAGCAAGGCAGGAACAAAGAGAAGATGCAAGAAATGATACCGACTTGGAAGTTTTATTGTGCGTGGAAGAGAACGATGGAAAGATCAGCAGAAGGAAACTTGAGGATGAAATAGGAATAGATCACACTACAGCGTTTCGAATTTTGAAACGACATAAATACTATACCTTCAAATATGAAAAGCACCAAGAGCTACGAGATGGGGACGAAATACGGCGCGTTTTGTTTTGATATGATGGAAAGAGCAAACACGGATAGGGAATTTTTAAAAAACATATGTTTCACTGACGAATACACGTTTACCTTAAATAATGAACCCAATGTTCAAAATTATCGATATTGGGTCAAAGAAAACCAACACAGGTTTGTCGAAACAAGGACGCAATATCCACAGAAAGTAAATGTTTGGGCAGCGATATTCGGACACAATATTATCGGGCCATTATTTCTTACGCGAAATTTAAATGCAGAATATTATTTGGAACTACTCGAAAATCATATTTTACCTGCTTTATATGATGCCGCTAGGAAAAATCAGGAAGTTTGGTACCAAATGGATGGCTGCCCGGCACATAGTACCCTGGCTGTTCGGGAATATTTAGACAATAGTTTTAACGGAAACGTTATTGGCCTAAATCATACAGTAAATTGGCCAGCAAGGTCTCATGATATTTCGCCAAATGATTTCTTTCTCTGGGGCCATTTAAAAAACAGGATATACAAGGATAAAAAATACCCAAATCTAGACGAGTTAAAAATGCTATTTCTGTCGAATGCAATAGAATTTCAGTTTACCAGCTAGCGAATGTAAGAAGAGAATTTTATGATAGCCTGGGTTATTGTCTAGCAGTCGATGGACGAATATTTGAACATCTTCTTAAATCCTAAAGTTCTAATAATTTAATAGTACCTAAATTAATAAGTTATTAAATATTGTAATAATACTATAATTAACGTTGTAATTGATTACTTTATTTTACTTTAATTCATATTCATCTTTAAGATTTCCGATGTAGGAATGAGTTTTCATTAATAATAAAGCACTAAATAGGTAAATTTCTGAAATGACAACTTCATTTGACACTTATCTTTTACCTTGACTGGTGCTCATAAATAAATACAGGGCCATAAGAAAGGAGAAATATTTAAAAAGAAATCGGCGATAACTCGTAAACGAGCTAATCAAAAATATCTAAAGTTATTCTTTTGAATGTGGGTTTGGTTTGGTTTGGTTTGGCTTAGTGCTTAGTGCTCTTCAATAAACCTAAATAGAATTATTCTCTAAAATAATTAGGGAAGCCAATAATTGACCCCATTAAAATTTACATGGCATTTCCTATATCCCGTCCGACGATGCAACACCAGGTATACTATTTGAAGCATGATTGTATCTAGGATCTTCCATTAACGTCTACTACGGTACATATTTATACCAACTGACGACCAACTATTATACATTTGAACCTTAGCTATACCGTATGGTGCATCGGAACAAGGGACATAGGAAATCCCACAAAAAAAATTTTGAAAAGGTCAAATATTATCTCACCAGATGATTTTATGCAAAAATTGTATTAGACTTTTTTGAAGAGGCGTTAAAGTTGTACTGTCGTCTAGAATTTCGTTTTATTTGGAATAGTCATTTAAAAACTATTTGCAAAAATCTACCTTCAAATTACTAAAAACTTAGAATAAGGCCCAGAGAAAGCTGCAAATAAAATACCAGCAAAAATATGATTTTGTCAATGTCAAATGCGATGTCACATTTTTTTACAAGAATTTCTCTGGTTTTGGAAAGGTGAAAAGAATTAGTAGGACTGAGTTTGCTGTTCATTACTCGATCACTCGCTGGCCTCGCTCATACCACATACATCCACAATAATTCAAGGGATAATCGAAATATTTGGAACACAAAGAACTTTTTTAAACTACACTAATTAATAAAATGTTTACATAATTCCCCATTCACAGCCGAACGATACCTCAAATGATTGTGAAGTTTACGTCTCACAATACAAAACTGTTAAGGGGAGAATCTTTAACATTCCACAGAGGTGTTGTTTTCAGCCCATCTAAATTTCTGCATTTAAAATGCTCATAAAGACGGTTTTTGAGGGTAATCCATAGGAAGAAGTTGTTCGGCTAAAGATCCTGTGGTCTTTTCCTACTGTATCCCAGTAGGAAAAGTATATATCCAATAAAAGGGAGTCAAAGTTTTTCTTTTCTTCAACATGAAGAATATTCAAGTCATTGTTATTTTCTCCCTGTTCAATTATTTTTGTCTTCACACTTCCATGTGCTTAATACCTTAATGCCTAGTAATTTATCTTTTACGCATTTTTAATGTACCTATTCTTTACTTTTACGTTTGCTTCTTCTTTTCAATGGAGTTTAATATTGAAAAATACTTTATTAATAAACTGTTAAACTCGTTAGATAGCTCAAGTGAAGATTTACAGGTCCAATATTAAAAACAGATCAATAATAAATAAACAAATATAATTAATATTTATATTTTTATAGCTTACAAAACATTCACGATTACTTGTTGTCTTATTTTTCATGTTTTCTTTAAATGTTCCTGACTTTAAGAAACAATGGCTGCATGATAAGTTTAAATTGTCCTAAAAAGTGATTCTATTTAGTTAATGAAATGTATTTACCTTTACTGCCTACCTCCATAACTTTTGGATGTAAATACAAAATATTATAACAAATTTTAGAAATTAAATAAGAATTTCACTTGAACTTCCAATATTTGCTTGATTTCTCTCACACAAATGGCATTGATTGGTAAACAAAACCAGAAAAACCAGCCTTCTCGCGCTGGTTAGTTTGGTGACAGTCATGTGACAGTGATGACCGAATTTTTCAGGAACCGTGTTCCGTAGTATGAAAACTTTCAGGAAACCGATAGAAACGAAACATAAAACCATAACTAAGGTAAGCAACGGAATACACCCTAATTTCTCTAAGCCGTATTATAATTTTTACTAATTTGAAGGTAGATTTTTGCAAATAACATTTAAATGCCGATTCGAAATTAAATGAAATTCTAGAGGAAAGTTCAACTATAACGCTTATTCAAAAAAGTTTAATACAACTTTTGCATAAAATTATCTGGGGAGATTATATTTGACATTTTCAAAATTTATATCGGATTTCTTATGTCCTTGTATATCAACTATCAAAACGAAGAATCGTTACGTGAGAAGAACTATACTTGTTTCATTTAAAAGGGATTCAGCTAATGGAATGGTAAAAGTCTGCAAGTTGAAATTTTATCGTCACTAAAAGGACCGTCGTAAAGTTCGCAATTGTGAGCAGACAGGAAGAAAAAAAAAAAGAAAGGAACAAGAACGACTTTGAAATAGTTTTGGAAGCCTTTAGTTGCTAGATCACGTCCACAGTCTCATTGGAACTTTGGCAATTAAATTTAGACTGCGAAAAAGGTACAGAGAAAGAAAATTTAGTGATAAAGTTCTTAAAAGCGTTTGAAAATTTTTCAGGAAACTGTCCAGAAAGAAAGATATATTTTGAAATTTTATATATATCTTATTTTGAGCAACACTAATAATTGTACTTTACACGTCATTTATCAAAAATAATTGCAATGCACAGAACTTTATTAATTTTTAAAGGCAATTTTTTGCAATTCATGAATTTTTTTTATTAAGGTTTTTAAAGTATATGTCCTCTAATTTAAATATTAATAAAATATATAATAGTATCAAAACATTAATCTTTCCGTAGTTTATAGCTTCAACGGGAGAATTCCACCTCTCCAACCCCCAAAATGTATTCTTCATAAAAT